ATTATACGACATTTGGATTTTCTTGATTGTGCGTTTGATTCTATTTTCTACAATCTTGACTAGTTGGAAAGATATTTCATGGTAAATAAGGTATCATTTTTTTATTGACGAAGAAAGATCATGGAGATAATAAATCAAAAAAGAACGCTGAGTGAATATCAAATGTCAAAGTTATTCTATGATTTTCTTTTTTTTGTTTTTGTATCGGTAATATGATGATCGAACTTGATCATATTGGAAAACTATGATGAGTAATTATCATTTACAAGAGGAATATTTTTCTTTCACAGTCAATCAACTCAATGGAAGATAAACCGCAAGAGAGAAACAGAAAATATCTAATTCATCTTTTCTTTCTTGCTTACACATACACGATTCTCGTCTTGTTAATATAGTACTGTCATAGACGCATTCACAGAATGTATCGTCTACTAGAGAAGAATTCTAACAAAGTCATACAGTTTCCAACTAAGTCTAGTAGAGTTCAATGATGAAGTAACTGATTTGTTCGAGATATACTTAGGAAAATAGTGTGAGGGATGTGGGTATTAATGAATCATTCCACATTCTCAAACGATTGATCCAGTCTAATTCGATAGCATTGTCAATCTTTATTAGATCCTGTTATAAGTCTCTAGCGAAATTTAGAGCAAGTTTTTTATATATTATTGATTTATGTGTTTTGAATAGTTAATCAATAAAACAAAAAAAATCGGCGTACAAGAAGATGTTAACCCAGCTATTGATTCGATAAAGATTAATTTTTGAAGGAATTATTCTATCATATTTCAGCTGCCTGTGTGAATGGCGTTCAGAATAAGTCATCCATACAATATTCATGTTTATGTATTTTTTATATGCCATTTTACAGTCATACCATCATACTGAATATATGTCGGGTATAAATTATTGTTATCCTTCATTGAAGCATTCGTCATGTATTCGCTTTTCTTTCACGTAGTCTTTGTGTTACGGTCATATCTTCATATGCCTTCACACATTCTTTGTTTCTTTCTCTTTTATGTTTTTTTCCTTCACTCGAACAAGATACAACGTGAAGAGAGGGTCCTCTCATATCTAAGAAACATAAAAATCCATTAATATTTTCGTGTCGTAGTCCATCTGTGTACGGACTGAGCTTTTGTTTAGATGGGTGTGAGTGTTTTCTTATCAACTACACCCACCCTCGTCAGTAGGTATCGAATGTCATATTGCTGGTAATGTAACTAAATAAAATAATACTTTTGTGTCTAATATATAAAATAACATACTTTTACCAACATAGTACTCCAAAAGATAATAATATTCCGCGAAAATTCAGCTGTCTCACCTTTATTTATCTCTGTAGACGATATTATATAGAGATGTCTTCGACCACATGGGAGTTTTTCTTTTATGAAACTGATAAGCATAAAGAAAAAACCAATCAAGATAGTCACTGATAAATAATATAAATTCATTTGTTTTGTACGAATTCATTTTATATTATATCAAAGAGATGGCTCTTGTGTTTCAAAGAAATGAAGTCGAGTTCGAACGTACGGGCGTCAAAGGAAATATACCAAACAATGACATTGCATATTTAATGTATTATTTACAATGTGTATGTACATCGATTAACTGTAATAATGATCCTGATATTCAACGTTTTACAAACTATAATAACTGGTCCTCCTTGTCCATCGATGAACAAAGAGCACTTGTCGCTGTTTGCTATGCGTTTAGCCCTGATGTTCTTGCTGATAGGGTCTTCTTCCATAGTGATACTCTATGTGGTGAACGGGCAAATGAATTTTACACGATCAATCAAGTACGTAATCAACTTGTAGCTGCTGAATCAATCATTATAGCTGGACGAGTACGAGTGGTCAATCAGATTATGACATACAAAATTGGATGGATGCATATATATTATATTGGTCCAATGCAGCGACTTTTAGCAAGACTCAATACTTCTTCTCAACGTCCTGCATTTAGTCACACACCTACTTATACGGCACCTGTTATAAGACAGAGAACAATAACGACAACTTCTAACAAGGGAGGTTTGATCGTTACTATTATCTTCGTCTTGATTACTATTATTATACTCTTCATTATTTTCATGCATTGATTGTTATCAATATTTTTCATTTATCTTGAACACACATAAGATTTCTTTAACGATTCAAATAATAGATCTAAACAAAATTGAAACTATCATTTTCTAATAAATTAATATATTAATTGCTCGAAATTATTTAATCGATTAAGAAACTATATAGTGCTAGATAAATTCACCGTACAGACAATCCTTAGAGGGTGTGGGTGTGTCCGTAAATGTAAATCTTTTTCGTTCACACCCACACCCTAATAAATAATGTACAGAATCAACTCGATCATGTCTCATATTTTCCATCCATCATAGATTGCTCTAACTGTCTTTTGTAATACAATAAGTGATCTCGTGTAGAATAAAATGAACCGTAAAGAGTAGATCCTATTTCTGATGTTGTAGTAAAAATGGCCGACATTTTTTGATAATGGAATACGGTGATATCAAGTTCATCTTCATAGAATTTGATACCGATTGTATGTCTGTATGTTTGGCTTCGATGATCATAATCAACAGTAACTGGGAGATATATTTGTTGACGCCTTAATATTGTATTATAAGAATCCAAAATCAAGTTGTTTTCTGACAATGATGTGTCGGTACGATATGAAGAAGTATTTTGTATATTATTATATACTTCGTCAAACTTAATTTTTGCTTGCTTCGAATCACGTCTTCGTTCATAAACAATACGCATATAAGCCTTGATTTGATAAATGAATTTATCGTTTCGAGGAGAAATTGAATCATACATATTCAGAGCTTTTTGAAGATATTCCAAGGCTAAATCAAATTTTTGTTGTTCTCTAGCTCCATTTCCGGCTGCAATATAAAACAAAGCTTTTGATTGTTGGTCTGATAATCTATTTATTAAATTTTTGTACTCATCTTGATGCTGCTCATAACCTCCTTGCTCTCGAAAAAAACTATGTGAGTGGAATCTAGCAGACATTTCAGATATATCTTTATTGATGTAATCCTTCATTATTTGACTAACAGAGACATACATCAATTCGATAATATGTAAATGATCTTCATGATCATAATGAGTTCGATTCAGTCGGAAATGTGAGCCAATTGTAAATAAAACTTCGTTCTCCTCAGAAATATAACTCAATGCCTGTACATCAGCAAATGGTTTTGATGTTGGTAAAGGTGATAGACTCCGATCAAATTTGATTTCGAATAACACATTTATGAAGCTGTCATCATCTGGTTTGCTAATAGCAAATGCTATCGCTTGACAACGATTATAGCTTGTCGATAGGAAACTATGAAAAGAGATCAGTTCTCTCTCATTGCGTTTCATTCGTTTCAAATCTGCAACTGGTATAATTTGACCGCGATAAACTGTAATTGTATCGATATTCTGTTCTTGCTGTAACTTCACCAATTGGTCATGGATATCTCGAATTAAAAATCGACATGCAAGTAAAACATCAATATTTTGCATTCGAAGTGCTTTATTTAAAATTCTGTAGACAAAACAATCTTTTGTATACCATGTTATAGCTGTTTCTGGTGTATAAGTTTGTTGAAACTCATCAATTCGACGTCCTTCGATTTCATTCCCGTTGTATTCAATTTTACATAGGTTAATCAGTTCATCTTTGTCGCCTGTTCGATTGGTTAGTAAAATACCATCGAGAAATAATTCGAATAGTAGAAACGAATAACTGGGCGTCGTCGTACCACTATTTGCTTGTTGTTCTTTAGAATTACCCAAGAACAAGAAACTTTCGCGTCTTTCTCGAATTGGTTGATCATGTAATACTTTTGGAACTAGTTCATCAATTGATGTGACTGTTATCTTAGCCTTAAAACAGAAAAATGATTTAATTGTTGTTTTATATGAGCTTTACTCACATGCTGCTTGAATTCAGACCTTGCTGCCTCGAGTTGATCAGACATACAATACACATAGACAGTATTGATCTGTGGCCATTCGTCCATAGTCGACACGAGCTGTCTTCCCCATTTTTCATTACTAATTATAATCAAATGTTCATCTTTGATCTTCTCAATAAATTGTCGACATTCATCAAAATTATAAAAGATTTTCAAATTGTTTATGATAGATCGTAATTGTTTTTGTATTTCTGGTTGGGTGTCTATAATACTTGGTCGTTTATCGAGCCATATTAAAATATATAATTCGAGACGAGTCGATGTATCAACTTGTTTGGCGATAGGTGTGCACATCTGTGTTTACAATTGCTCACGAGCTAAAATAGTTAAACTATTATAAACTTGGTTCAAACAACAGTGAAGGACATGCTAGTATGTCTTTTTTAAGAAATTCAATATATCGACTATGAATTCTTCGGAACTCATATATATGACCGTTCTCGAGCTTCGATAAACAGAATGCACTCAGATTTCGCGTTCTGATTCTGTAAAATAAGAAACCGACTGAGTTTTGCATTCTTCGGAACAAAACCATTAAATTTTATATTCATAATAGTGAGTTTTCTTCCTTACCTATATACAGAGATAGAGCATACTATTTGCGTCGTATTCGTTGTTCGCAGAAAGGCAAAAAAATGTTGCTTGCTTCGACGACTTGCTTCTTTATCTGTTGTCGTAAAAAGACCATATGTTTGCTCGAGCAAATTTTCCCAAGCAGACAATCTTATGAAAAAAAACGCGTTAAAGCACGATTAAAACACCGTTTTACTGCGTTAAATTTCGCTTCGTTATTATGCGTTAGCTTATTGTGTTTAACGCAGAATTACGCCTTTACATCCATTAAAAGATATACGCGTTTTTCTTCATTAAATTTTTTCGTATTTTTGGGTGATTTCTTGAAACTAAACGCGACTGTATGCGTTTAACATAAAATACGCTTTACTGAGTTTAATTTTCATGTCGTTATTTCGAGTAATTCGATCAATTTGAACGTGTTTTTGCGGGTTATATACTAATATGCGGACAGAAAAGTGAAGCATACAAAGAACAGTTAGAAGAAAAAGAAGAGAAGACGTGACTTTCATTTTCCGTGTCGAGTGACGATGATGCATATATATTGAGTGGTCATTCTTTATCTATTCTTATCAGACATCTTTAATAATAAAAGTATGTGTATGATGAGTTAGAAAAAACAGAAAAGAAACATCTTTGGACAAACCGTTGCTTATACAATAATATTACTTATTTCAACGACAATCCAAGGTAAAATAGTAGTACAGAGAAAAATTTGTACGAACGTTTATATAATTGAATGATTATTTACAAAAATACATTTAATTTTTTTATAATCAGTTATTAGATATTTAACACTGCACTCGACACTTTTCGTTTATGTTTTACTTGGAAATTTTGAGTATAGACGAGCTTTTGAGCATTGCAAATGTAACTGCATTTATTTTGCGCCTGACTAATGTCTTTTGTGTACGTGCGTAAGCATCAGTTATTTAACCGAATATATGTTCAATCAATAAACTTAAATGAGTTGTTTTACACATTATAGTTCTTTAATTTTTCAGGCCTTTTCATCAGTAATATAAATATATATTGAGTGGAGCACATTAAATAACTATTTTTTATTAATCCAAAGCGTTGAAATTAGTTTCTTTCAAACGATACAATCTTGAGGGTGTGGGTGTGGGTGAGGGCGTGGTGTAGCTGAGTATAGGCGTAAGTATTCTATTTCACCCATAACCACACCCACCCACACCCACCCACACCCACATCCACACACACATCCCACTACTGCTACTTTACAACAACATTGAAAAGTTTTTTTTTTTTCAATAGATTTCAATAATTGCGGTGGTATTGTTATAGTTAGATACAAGTCTTTTTCATCGTACAGTAAACGTGTTTTTAAAAAAGTTTCCAAGTACCGATCCATAAACAACAGATGGATTCAATTTTTGAAGCATCAGATTCAGGTTCATTCGCGTCATATTATCGAAGTATACTTTGTAATACGCAGAACATCAATAACAAAGCATTGCAAAAGATTCTTGAAAAAAGTGGTTCATCAGCTTTTTTTGTTGATCGATCCATTTCATTATTTAATTCCCACTATTCCAAAAATGAAGAATATACATTAATCGATGAATTCCGCAAGAAGGTACCACTAACTACATATAATGATTTTGAAGTTTATATTAATCGAATGATTTATGGTGGAGAGAAAAATCTGCTCACTTCCAATACCATTTATTATTATGCTATAAGTTCTGGTACTACAGCAACGAAGAAATTTCTTCCTTTCTCCGAATCTATGTTGAAAGAACGTTCGATAAACATACGCATTGGACGATCCGTCATTTGGAGATCTCTTTCACCATCATCATTTCCATCACCTGAACAATTATCATTTGAATTACAAAGTACAAGACGAGAAGAGATGTTTTATAAAGCGAAAGATGGAACACCGATGGGTCCTCTCACTCAAGTTTTTTCCATTGTACCGTTTGATTCTGAAACGAGAAGAATAATATTTGATTCTAATGTTATAGCACTCGATCTTATCAAAAGAGTTGGTCATTTTGCAAGGGGGAAAATGCAAACTTTAAAGCATAAAGTACCGTAAAGTTC